GTGTGTGTGTGTGTGTGTGTGTGTGCGTGCGTGTGTGTGTTACCTTGAGTGCTGCTGACTTTGTTCTTCATTTTTTATTGTTCTTCTTTGGTTCTTTTCTGATGAGACAGGAAATACAGAAGTGACTCATGTAGTAACATGCAGTACATGTAGTAGTACTTGTATTAACATGTAGTGGTAACATGGAGTAGTAACCTGAAGTAACATGTAGTTCTACCTGTAGTAACATGTAGTAGTACCTGTCATAACATGTAGTAATACATATAGTACCCAGAAGTAACCTGTAGTAACATGTAGTAACATGTATTAGTACATGTAGTAACATGTATTAGTACATGTAGTACCCTGAAGTAACCTGTAGAAACATGTAATACCATGTACTGGCACTTGTAGTACCCTGAAGTAACCTGTAGTAACATGTACCAGTACTTGTAATAACCTGTAGTAACATGTAGTAACGTACCAATACTTGAAGTAACCTGTAGTAACCTGTGGTAGTACCTGTAGTAGTAATATGTAGTACCTGTAGTACCTGTAGTAGTAATATGTAGTACCTGTAGTACCTGTAGTAGTAATATGTAGTAGCTATAGTAGTACCTGTAGTAGTAATATGTAGTACCTGTAGTACCTGTAGTAGTAATATGTAGTACCTGTAGTACCTGTAGTAGTAATATGTAGTAGCTGTAGTAGTACCTGTAGTAGCTGTAGTACCTGTAGTAATACCTGTAGTACTAATATGTAGTAGCTGTAGTAGTAGCTGTAGTAGTAATATGTAGTAGCTGTAGTAGTACCTGTAGTAGTAGCTGTAGTAGTACCTGTAGTAGTTGCTGTAGTCGCTGTAGTCGTAGCTGTAGTAGTAAAATGTAGTAGCTGTAGTAGTAGCTGTAGTAGCTGTAGTAGTAGCTGTAGTAGTAATATGTAGAAGTACCTGTAGTAGCTGTAGTAGTAATATGTAGTAGTAGCTGTAGTAGATGTAGTAGTAGCTGTAGTAGTAATATGTAGTAGTACCTGTAGTAGTACCTGTAGTAGTACCTGTAGTAGTAATATGTAGTAGTACCTGTAGTAGCTGTAGTAGTAGCTGTAGTAGTAATATGTAGTAGTAATATGTAGTAGTAGCTGTAGTAGTTGTAGTAGTAATATATAGTAGTACCTGTAGTAGTAATATGTAGTAGCTGTAGTAGTAGCTGTAATAGTAATATGTAGTAGTACCTGTAGTAGTAATATGTAGTAGCTGTAGTAGTAGCTGTAATAGTAATATGTAGTACTACCTGTAGTAGTAGCTGTAGTAGTAATATATAGTAGTAGCTGTAGTAGTAATATGTAGTAGTAGCTGTAGTAGTAGCTGTAGTAGTAATATGTAGTAGTAGCTGTAGTAGTAGCTGTAGTAGTAATATGTAG